TACAGCTTCTAAATGAGCATGCTGCTCAGCAGTGGTGAGCTCAGGTGGGTGTAGTGTTGAGTCATTGTTTGAATAACAGTGGATTCATGTTTGCTGCATGTCACTAGATTACTCAGCAAACACACTCTCTAAGTAAATACTGATGACATTTCACAGAGAATACAGGTCATGCATGAATCCATTTTCCGCTGTTTATCCAGGTCCAGATAGCACTCAACTCCAGGATCGCCTAACAGTTGGCCGTGTTTACCTATTTGGGGCTTGAGCATCAGGAGCTCTGGCGCAATGCATCCTGGTGCATGTAGGCACTGCAACAATGGCTGTGAAGGAAGGAAAACTCAGAAAAACTCAGCTTGTCTGTCAACACAGCTCTCACTGAGGATTTCTTTCCATTGACTGCATTTGCCATCAAAACTCAACTTATACCAGTTTAAAATGTGCTGTATTTCTCCTTAACTTAATCACTTGGCATAACAAGTCACTCTGACCCTGAGCCAAGCAATCCACCATTTTCCAGCAAAGTAAGAATTTTAATTTTAATTCAAATTAGAATTTGGTAGTCAAAGGTCACAGTCACAGTGATCTTGCAGCCGTCTCTTTCTTGTAAATGCAATATCACTAGAGCATCTTGAGGGAATTTCCTCAGATTATTTGGCACAAACATCCACTTGGACTTAAGAATTGACTGATTTTGGTGGTTGAAGGTCAAAGGTCAAGGTAACTGTGTCCTCACAAAACATGTTTTTGGCTTTTACTCAAGAATTCATACGGTACTTATGACAAGATTTCACACAAATGTCTAACAGCTTCTAGCTTCACTGTGACATCATAATGTCACATCATATCTCAGGAACAGAAGGAGAGCCATTTGGTCAGATACTGAATTGGTGACTCTAATCCTGAAACCGTGCTGATTGTATAGATCTTCTGTGTGTTTTCACAGACATGAATGGAAACTGTAACTGCAACTGAACAGGTTAACGGAGGTATACAACCATGAGGCGATAATTCTAGTTTCTCTTTTTACTACACATATGAAGCCATCATGGATGTCATGGCTGGTTTGGTGTTCTGTGTCAACACTTCCACAGAAATGTGTGGATAACATTTTGTTTTTATAACACTGAGCAGCTGCTCTAGACGTTATGGCTCACTTACTTTCTGTATTAGGCCACTGTCAGGTGAGCCAGGGAGTTCTTGGCCCAACATCATCACTAGATAAATTCCAGTGAGTCATTTTATCCTGACCTAAGAAAACCGTGATCATTGCACGTGGCCTCAGTTCCTGGTTTTTTAAGTGTGTATTTAAGAGTTGGTCTTTATCCTGTTCAACACTTCCACACAGGAAGGCTGAAGGTACACACTAACAGAAGGACAAGGATAAGATCATCCTGCAGCAGGTTTGCTATAAACTATATTATCATTTGCTGTCCTTATGGAGGGACAGAAAGGATGCCAGATAGCTGATGCCAGTGGCAGCAGCTAGTCTTGCTGGGGTCCAAATTCTAGTACATCATATTCATCATACTGTATACAACCAGAGATGGACAAAAATATATCAAAATGTATTTTGATACAAAATACAAAATACACCTCAAATAAATGTATCAAAATAAAATACAAAATACTGGTGCCAGAAAATGTATCAAAATAAAATACATGTATTTTGTATTTTCAAATACAGAAAATACTTTTTTCTTTTTAGCAGCGACCCGCAGCTCTATAGGTCACTCTGTCGGTCGGTCGGTCCACAAAGCTTTTCGTGAATAACTCAAAAAGTCCTTGACCAAAAATGCTCAAAATTTACATACTGCAATTAGAGACCACAAGTAACTATGCCAGAAAGAAAAACCATGATTCATCCATTAATGGCGTGATAGTAGCAAATTTGGTCATTTGTATGTAACCCTTTTTTCCACTGGCTCATGTATTAAGAAACCCACCTTGTGCTTTAAGATGAAATCTTCTTAACCCTTATGCAATATTTTGTGGTAAAAGAGACATCTCACATCGTAAACAACTGTCTAGGGTAATGTATGATTCTCACTCACTGTACAATGTTAATTTAGAGGCTGGCGGGAATACTCTGACCTGTAACTTATATTTACTCAGCAGTGTGAATGAAAACACCACTCAATGACACAACACAAGATATCAGGTTTTGAAAATGTATTGCACCTGAAAAAACATTCAGACCTTTGGTAATGGAAAAGAGAAAAATGAAGAAAATAAAAGACCCGGGTAAATATGTTTTGTCCAGTCCTAATTGTTCAACCTGAGTGCACTCTTACTTTGTTTCGTTGGCGCGCTTAGTTGGAGCTCATGATGGTTACTGTAATGTGTGTGGGTACCTCTGTGTGTCTGTGAAGCTAGCGGGGCCAGGCTGCAGTTGCTGATCCACTCCCCCATTGCGGCGGCCCCCTCATTGTTGACACTCATCCACGACGACCCGGCAATGCTCGTCAGCGACGACCGTGCAGTTAGCTTTCCGCTAGCTCCGACTGGCCAACTCAGCTGAACTTACTTCGCCTCCAATAAAACAAAAAAAACACTCATCTGCGCCGGGGAGGCTGACTCACACACTCACGGCATAATTTGCACACAGCAGTTCAGTCCGTCATGGATAAACCACGGCACAGATATAACACAGTCCCAGAGTCTCCGCTCCACGCCATTAACACATTGCGCCTTCTTCTTCCTCTCTCGGGTCAGACAGGAAGTGTAAACACTCAAAGGACATGAACTCACACACGTAATATAACGTAATAAGAATTACTTTTTAACTTTTTTTTAAAGGCATTCACACCCCATGAAATTGTGTTTTTAAAACCACTCATTTTAAACATAAATCATTTATACATTTTAACATCTTAGTTTTATCATATAGTTATTTATGCAAATTTTAACTTCACCATGAACTGACTTTTTCTTTAACTCATTCCCATAAAAAAAAAAACATAAATACGACTGATATTTAATAGAGTATTACATGTAGCATACTCATCCCAAGCATCAACCACAACAACATACAATTTCCTGTTATGCACAGTCCAGTAAAACAGACCACTAGGTCATTGATGATGATAAAAAATAAAGGGGTGATGTCAGTCTATCATAGAACAGCGGATAGAGTCGTGATACATTGTCAAGATACTGACTATGTTTTCAAACACAAAATATTTCTGGTTTTGCCCTTATTCTTAAAGACAATATTCTTACCAAGCTGTTTACACAGCTGACAAAAATGAATATTCCAGTAACATTCCTTTTTACGCAATAAACGTGCCCTAGCATGATTATCACGTCAAAATGTGGAAGAGTGTAAAGGCTGTTGCTTGTGCCAGGATTTTTATTTAAAGTTTTCCACAAGTAATAGACTATTCCACCATGTGAGCTTCTCTCTGTCATTTGTTTAACCACCTACTTGAAAAGATCGGTGTTACAAAATTTGCACATATCCAAAAACCTTTTCATATGCAGATGTCTCATAATGTTTAAAAGTAGGTGTGTTTCTCCTTCCGACGAGAAACGTTGGGTTTTCTTTTGGGCTTGCATTTCTGCACCAGCCTACAAAGTGCTGTCAAGTTGATTTGTGTACAATGTATTAATGACAACGCACAGAGCTGAACACAAACAGGTAAAAGGCTGTGTCACAAACTGTGGCACAAACCCCAACTGAGACGTATATTATGACAAATCCCACGTATTAATCAGAAAATGCTACATTTGGAATAAGGCCATATTTGGAATTTCCAAACTAAATGTGCTGTTTACATGCCGTATCAAATTCATATTAATAACAATAGTGGAATATTAGTGTGCACATCCTGTTGTCATAGAAAAAACAAAAAAACAATAGCAACGCTTCATTAAAAAAGTGCTCCTGGGTGAAGTGCAAAACAATGCATTAGACCCTAAAACGTTCTCACTAAGACTGACTTCTTTCACATGACACAAACTGATTTGATTAAAAATCTTGATTCATGAGTTGCATTACACACATATTGAAGTGAATGAGTCTGTGTGATACTGGTGTCCCTCTAGGACTCAGGACCTAAAGCACTTCTTAATTATTGCAAACACCATCACCAACAGGAAAGTGCAATGGTGACATCATTGTGGCTGGTGTTGTGGTCTGTCTCACACATCTACAAAAAACGATAAATGATCTTATATTTGTACAGCGCTGAGCAAATGTTTTGACGCATGCAAGCTTGATTTGACTGTGTTTGAACCGAGCAACTGTCAGATGAGCCTTTGGGTATCAGGTGGCATTGACTTTGAGCTCTATTGGCCCAACACCATCAAAGATAAGCACCGGCAAACTTAATAAATATGTAATTTTTCCTGACCTTAAAAAAGGTATATCAATGACAGAACTGAATAGGCTGACTCGTTACAGTAGAAGGCAGTAATAATGTTACTTGTCCCAGTAATGGATAGTGTGACAAATTACAAATAATGTTTGAGTAATAATATTGTAGTCACCCCAAAAAACAAATAACTCCTTACAGCCTTACTTTTGTTGTCAGCCAAAGAACAAATGAAGATTGAGGCTGGATATATGATGGGTGAAATGTTGCACTGATGCTAAGTTTTTCAGACACATCCTTGGAAAAGTACCGGGTAGGCAACAAAAGTCTCTTGGGTAAGAGGCACACATGCGTCTGAGGAGAAACAACGCCATAACAACTTTTGTAGGCTGTAAAAGTAATACAACGACTCGTAGCCAGCCAACATTTGTATGTTATTTGTTGCTAAAAAAAAAAAAAAGCCCAACACTGGACATCCATAACACATCTTTCAACTTGTGTGTTTTTTCATTTGATGAAAGTGTTAACTTGTGAAAGTTTAAGCTGCCTTGTTTCACATTTGGAACACAGATCACATTTTTATTTGCATGTCTATCAGTGTGCATGGCCTCAGGTCTTGGTTTTGTAGATGCAAGTGTATAAAACAGCTGGTTCTTCTCTAGTTCAGCTCACAGGAAGGCTGCCATCATTCAGACAGTCAGAGGGAAATTAATTCTGCAGCAGGTTTGCTACAAACTATTATTATCCAATTTTTATTTTTTTCAGTACCAGTCTAAGTCATCTCCTCCCTGTCAAAGGATTTGTACAAGCTTTAACATCTGCAACATCACCGCCATGAAGATGCTGACTGTGTCTGCACTTCTTTGTGCATTGCTGGCTCTGACCAGAGCTCTCCGTGAGTATTTCCTGGCAGTGGTGGAGCGTAATCAGGGATGGGCAGTATTTCTATTACTTGTATTTAAAATACGTATTTCAATTACATTTTAGTATTTTGTAAACTGTATTTGATAAGGCTGATAAAAAGCAAATGTAATTTGTAACAAGATACTTTTAAGTGGAGTAATTTTGTATTTAAAATACTCAAAATACTTTCTCCACAAATCAAATAACAAAAAAAAATGGCTACACATTCTTATAATATTGGATGTAACAATATTTTTTACTTATTTTTTAAAAAAAAAGATTTTATCTATATGTTTTTTAAACTTGGGTCGTTCAATGTGCCCTTCAGTGACCTAGTGATCTGTTTTACTGGACTGTGCATAACATAGGAAATTGTATGTTGTTGTGGTTGATGCTTGGGATGAGTATGCTACAAATGAATTGCCTCACGTGGGATCAATAAAGTTGTCTAAATCTAAATCTGAATCAATAAATAATGTTTTAGGGTAGCCTACACCAAACTGTGAGAAAACAAGCCCAAATTTGCATTTGCAAAAGCAGCGACCAAATTTGCTACTATCACGCCATTAATGGATAAATCATGGTTTTTCTTTCTGGCATAGTTGTGGTCTCTAATTGCAGCATGTAAATTTTGAGCATTTTTGGTCAAAGACTTTTTGAGTTATTCACAAAAAGATTTGAATCGGTTAGTATAGCGCCACCTATGGACGAATTGTGGGCATTCTCTCTGGTATAATTACTCGTGGTCTCTAGTTGCAGTATGTAAATTTTGAGTATTTTTGGTCAAGGACTTTTTAGTTATTCATGAAAAGCTTTGTCGACCGACCGACCGACCGACCGACAGAGTGACCTATAGAGCTGCGGGTCGCTGCTAAAAAGAAAAAGAAAAAATGTATTTTCTGTATTTGAAAATACAAAATACATGTATTTTATTTTGATATATTTATTTGAGGGGTATTTTGTATTTTGTATCAAAATACATTTTGATGTATTTTTGCCCATCTCTGCGCTTAATTTACTGAAGTTCTGTACATGAGAACAGTTCTTGATGTAAATGTATTTTACTGGAGTATTTTCATTTTCTGCTAGTTTAAATTTGACTACATTTCAGAGTGGAATATTGTACTTTTGAATGCACCACAATTATCACTGGGCTACAAGATTAAAATGTTGCTTACACATGAAGCATCAATGATTATCCATCAATGCAAACAAATACTGTATAAAGGGCCGTTCTGGATTTTAACACTACATTTTATACTTCATTTACATTTTGCCAATAATACTTCTGTACTTTTACTTACATAAAACATAGAATGCAAGACTTTAACTTGTCACAAAGAATTTATTGATTTTGTATCTTTTATTGAGAGAGATGGTTCAATGTTTTCATAAATAAGCTCATATTTGCATCTTTGCTGAGATCAATGAGAAGATTGAGTTCAGTCACACTTCTTTAAGCTAAATATGAAGCTACAGTCAGAAGCTAACAGCTTCATAGTTAACAAAAATGATGTTTAAGTAAGAGATCAGAGTTCTTCTTTCATCACTGCTCACTGTTGTGTTACAAACTGTCCATCCAGCTCTTAAAGAAGAAGAGAAGGAACCTGGGAAACTTACTGTAATTGATCTTACAGATCCTTCGGCACCATCAGGTTGGTAGACACTAACACATACGTATGTATAGGCTGGAGGGTTACTTTCGGAATGTATTCCACTACACATTACTGAATACATGCCCTAAAATGTAATTTGTCCTGCATTCCATTAGATTACTCAAACTAAGTAAAGCATTCAAAATACTTTGGATCACTTTTGGAATACTCCAATACTACATTTAATATTTCTTGTACATTTTGCTAATAATACTTTTGTATTACTGTCCATCTTGATCTTGCAGCATCAGAGGAGGCGTCAAACGAACGTCTCGATTCAGATGAAGATCTTCAAGAATCATCATGTTGGTAGCTCTCTCACTCTCACACTCACACTCACACTCTCTCTCTCTCCCTCTCTCTCTCTGTAGGAGTCAAGCCACATGAACACAATCACACACCTCCCCATTGTTTTAACAGACTTAGTTTCCAGATAAACAAACTTAAAACGTTAGGCTGGCCAGTAATGAGACTCACCAGTGCAGGGCAGATGCAGCAGCAGTGAATGGGGGTGTGTTCAATTCGTTCAGTGAGTCGGACTACGCAGTACACAGTCAGGGCTCCTCCTGCCAAGCACTGAACGATTCAGTCAACGAATCTTTCGAACAAATCTTTTTAATGAACTGATTCTAGTGATTCAGTAACATCTAAAGAACTGCTTTGCCCATCACTAGTTCACACAGGAAAATAACAGTGGGCCCCTGGTTAAAGTCCACTGTTTGTCTGAGCCATCCACCTCCCAACCCACACACCCTTTGGGAACTTCACTTGTTATACTATGGTTCTTGCCAGCGGTGTTACAAACTGCCGCCAGCTGCTGCATTTCATAATGTCACAAAACATGCCTTTGTGCATTGGTATCATACATGGACGTCCACTGACATAGCAGTGGCATTTGAAAACTTGGGCTGTTGACTGATCCTGAATTGATGCTGCTCTGTTTGTATTCAGCACGTTCTCATTCCAAGTTGTCACATATCGCAGCTCTGTCAGTGGCCTTTCACCTCCATGTATTATGCCCTAGGTATACTTCAGCATTTCCTGTTGATGTTCCAGGAAGCTGCAACAAATGCCAGGATGTCAACAAAAGCACGTGGTTAGGTTCAGAAAAAAAAACCTCATGGTTTGGCTCTATATTCTTACAGGAAGTGAACACTGGGTTCCCAGGTGAAAGTCCAAGGTTTTTTTTAGAATCATCCACCACCCTTCCGCCCACCGTTTAGGGACTTTCTAGTTCCTTATATTTGGTTGCTACCTGCAGAGTTTGAAGCTGACACCTTCCAGCTGCGTATCAGACCACTACCACAGGTGCTGTATGGCTGCATTATGAACTGACGCCACCCATTCCTGTGTCATACTACTGTGACAGGTGCCGTCCAGTGGCATATCATAACTATGCGAAAGGTTAAACGCAGCCAAGTTATAAACTGATGCCTCCCTGCGGCATATTATACTACAGTGAAAAGTACCGTTGTGTGTCAATGTCAAATGCCCAGATCATTGACACAGCGGCGATATTTGACGGGTTGGAAATGAGAGATGGCTGGAGGATTACTTACAAAATGTAGTCCACTAAAGATAAGTAAATACATGCATGCCCTACAATGAAATTTGTAACATATTGTAATAGATAATTCAAACTAAGTAAAGTATTCTAAATAGTTCGGATTACTTTCGGAATACTCCAATACTTCATTTAATATTTCATGTACATTTTGCAAATAATACTTTTGTACTTTTACTAAAATATACATTTGATGCAGCACATTCACTTGTAACTAGTATTTATTGATTTTGTTACTTCTACTGAAAGGAATAGTTCAACATTTTCATAAATAAGCTCATATTTACATCTTTGCTGAGATCAATGAGAAGTTTGAAGTAAGTCACATATCTGTAAGCTAAATATGAAGCTACAGAAGCTAACAGCTTCATAGTTGAGAAAAATGATGTTTAATTAAACATCAGAGTTCTTCTTTCATCACTGCTCACTGTTGTGTTACAAACTGTCCATTTAGCTCTTAAAGAAGAAGAGAAGGAACCTGGGAAACTTACTGTAAATGATCCTACAGATCCTTCAGCACCATCAGGTTGGTAGACACAGACACACACATATATGTATGTATAGACTGGAGGGTTACTTTTGAAATGTATGCCACTACACATTACTGAATACATGCCCTAAAATGTAATTTGTCCTGCATTCCATTAGATTACTCAAACTAAGTAAAGCATTCAAAATACTTAGGATTATGTTTGGAATACTTCAGTACTACGTTTAATATTTCATGTACATTTTGCTAAAAATACTTCCGTACTTTTACTACAATACAAATACTTTAACTTGTAACTGAGTTTTTACTGATTGTTACCTTTACTAAAAGGAATACTTCAACATTTTCATGCATAAGCTCATACTGGCTTGGACATAGATGAGAAGATTGATATGTGTCTCACCACTGCTCACTGGTGTGTCAAACTATTGGCCCTACTCTTTCAGAAGCAGAAAACATTTCTGTGATAGTGGAACCTTCTATATTTCTAACACATCCAGGTACAGCTCCTGAAAATACAGCTCCTGAAGATACAGCTCCAAAAGATGCAGCTCCTGAAGATACAGCACCTGGAGATAACGCTTCGGCAGATACAGCTCCTGAAGATACAGCTTCTAAAGATAAAGCTCCTGAAGATAAAGCTCCTCAAGATGCAGCTCCCGCAGATGCAGCTCCTAAAGATGCAGCCCCTGTAGATAAAGCCTCCGCAGATACAGCTCCCACAGATACAGCTCCCAAAGATGCAGCCCCTGGAGATAAAGCTTCGGCAGATGCAGCTCCTGAAGATGCAGCCCCTGGAGATAAAGCCTCCGCAGATACAGCTCTCACAGATACAGCTCCTAAAGATGCAGCCCCTGGAGATACAACTCCTAAAGATGCAGTCCCTGGAGATAAAACTTCGGCAGATGCAGCTCCTAAAGATGCAGCCCCTAGAGATACAGCTCCTGAAGATTCAGCCCCTGGACATAAAACTTCGGCAGATGCAGCTCCTAAAGTTGCAGCCCCTGGAGATAAAGCCTCCGCAGATACAGCTCCCACAGATACAGCTCCTAAAGATGCAGCCCCTGGAGATAAAGCTTCGGCAGATGCAGCTCGCAAAGATGCAGCCCCTGGAGATAAAGCTTCGGCAGATGCGGCTCCCAAAGATGCAGCCCCTGGAGATAAAGCTTCGGCAGATGC